AGTAGTAACAGGTGCCTTACTAGTAGTAACAAGAGGCTACTAGGAACCTGGAGACAATAAATGTTGGCACGCAAAATGACTGAATTGTCTCCAGTGTTCGGTTGTCGCTGTCGTCCGTAGAGGCGAAGATTGTGGATCCAAAGTCGTTCGAACAGATCCCCATCATCGATTTGGCTCTCAGCGAGGCTTCCCGAACAGTTCGGGATTTGGTTCTTGCGAAATGATGCGATGGACTTCAATGACTCACGTGGGGCTTTTTGATGCTTCTGCCTGCTGGCTTGTATCAATGAGAAGAATGTTTGCCGATGTTTACCTCCTGTTTGATCCTTTTTGCCTTCTGCACCAAGTATTTGTTGGTTTTGCCAGGCCGAAGTCATCAAGAAGTTGACCTACTCTTGCGAGGCCTAAGAAGCATATCATACTGCACTCGCTCATTGATGACATGTTCGCATAGCTTTGGTCACTAGAATATGGATCCCAGAAGATTACACTACACAACTTGCTCGTGGAGTACAGGTGGAAGGCATTGCACGATATTCTTCAACCCCACCAGCATGACATGCCACTACAACCTGAGGTGGTGGGTTTCATGCAAGTTGTGGGGTGTGGAGCTCGGAAGCTGTGCAAAGATGGATGCGAGCGTGGAAGAACAGTATTTAGCAGAAAGTCTTCCTCAAAGTCGCCTCAAAGGTTCCATTAGACTCCACCGTAGTAGCGTCGTTGCTACTAGTAGTAATGGCCTCCAACCGAGTAGTGATGGCCTCCAACCTACTAGCGATGGCCACCATTCTTGTTTCATGGCGTTTCAAACTTCTGAAAGGCGTATTGACATCTCAGATGATGGGCTTTGCTGGTAGCCTTTTTGTCTCCTCCAAGACCATAGCTTGACCAATGTTTGTTTCTCTCCCATCGGCTTGTCGTCCAGTCCTTTCTCAGGCATGGCGTTCCATTGGAGTTGCAGGAGAAGGCCTTGGTCCGAGGTCCCAGTTTGGGAATTTCCGAAGCTCAGGGTAAGGGGATTTTACGGTGGTGATCGCGAGGTGGTCGGGGTCGGTGCTTTTGATCCGATCGAGGACAGCCATTTTAGATACATCTACAGTGATAGAAGAGCTGCTTTTCGCTCCTAAAAGTTGATCTCTCGCATTTCTCATTTCTTCCCTCACATCACTGAGGCTGCTTGTTAAACCACTCCTGAATCCTAATTGTCCAGCGGACAACGGACAGACACAGACGCAACAAAGTGCGATCGTGCGATCTTCAGGATCTTCAGAAGAGATTCTTCCAGCTCTCCCAGGAAAAGAAGGCGTGGGCAAAGCATGCAAAGCTTGCAAAATTTATATAGCCCAACAAATACTGAGCCTTGCCCTCGCTCCAAAAATGCAAGACACAGTCACTGTTCTGGAGTGTTTCCAAGAAACACATGGAAAGATGCTCTTTCATCTTCAGGTGATAGTCAGATAGTCCTTGCCCTTGCCAGGTCAGTGCTGCATCCCCAACATTCAGATCTTTTGGTAATCTTTGTCGAAAGACGGTTCCCCACAGTCCATGCTCTCAGGACAAACTGCGGCTTCGTGAGGAAAGTGGGAGCCTCAACCGAAGGAAAAGCGAGAAATTCATAACGTTCATAAATTTGTGAAGAGCTTGAATCGTAACATTCTAGATTGAGCTCTCGATCTATTCGTGACAATAGTTCGTAGTAATATTATTAATAGCAGTATATTTGATATCCCACCAGGAAAAATGCACATGGCTTTCGCACTCATAGATTTTGTGTTGATGTTTCCGAATGTGTTTTGGCCAAGGCCTCGTGCGCGGGTACTTTGGTCGAGGTGGTGAGGAGCGCGGGCTCGCATGTGAGTGGTTTGAGTGGTCACGCAGTCTGGCCTATTCGCCTTTCCATACAATGTGAGGGTGAGGCGCTTCTTACGCCTTTTCCTCATCCCCACTCCACCACTGTCCAGTGGCTACCACTCTGCCCACTGACATAGTACATGGTTTGTGAAACTCTCCAGACCGTGGTCGGAGGAACATGTGGAATGGAACTGCAAGCAAGCATCACGAAAACGAGGAACTTGTTCAGTTGTGTGACACAATGTGACACATGATCTTGTTTTGCACTGATTTATATAATTTATATATATATAGTTGAGTGCAGAAATTATCGCAGGACTTGGACCAAGTACTTGAGAAACAGGCCAGGCTGACTGCTCGGTGAGTTTTTTTGGCTGTTGGCCACCGAGAACGTTGCCAGTTTTTGGCGCTTTGCAGTGAAACAAGGAAACACAGTGTTGCGACTGTGAAAAGCGGGGGTAATTCGGTGGAGCCGGCGGCATGTGACGGAGAAACATGTGCATCTAGACAGAAGGTAATTGGGTCATTTGCACAGGGACTATGAGATTTGGGACTCACAAAACCATCTATTGAAGTGAAGTGATCAACTCATGTTGTTTGTTGAGTCCACTCCTTGAAACCTTCCGCATTCTTCCGTATCGGAGGTGGACGAAGCCAATGGCAAGGACTGGCAACTTGCCATGCCAAGTGGGACTGTCGAGAGTTGATGATTTTGAGTCATGAAGTTCATCAAGCGCAAGTTGACCTGAAGCGGTGTGCAAAACAGAAGTAGCGTGATGCTAGGGGCTGCTAGGCGCTTCTAGGCGCTGGGCTGTTTCACGTGCAGGACTCCATCCAAAAATCTCGGAAGGACTGCAAGGAGGCGCTGAACGGAACTCTCAGCTGTGGTCAGACCTGTGGTCCGGCTCCTCTTGATAATATCGGGAGATGACACCCGTCCAATCCTGTCCAGCAACCTGCCTCGTTTTGTACTCAGAAACTGAAGTGTTACTGATGGAAGGGCACATGCAAAAGCACCCAACAAAGGCCGAGTCGACTTCCTTGCTGGGTTTTGCATGGGGTTGCGCTGTTGTGGGGCTTCTACTGGGCTATAGTTACTATAGTTGTGTCACACGCGACCAAAAGCGCAGGCCTTGGACATGAATGGCGTCCCTTGGGCCAAGCCTAAGGGAGGCTTTATCGGAGAAATTTTCGGCCAGCAGGGATGCCAAGAGCGCAGCTTTACTGCGGAAGCGTTCTCGTTTTTTTAAGTCAATGACATATCCACTTGCTGATTTGAATAGGTTCCCTTTGTTTGTCCCTGAAAAGATCTTTTGGAAGGAGATTGTCAGGGACCAAATTCACTACCCAGTGAGCTCAGCTCAGTGAAGAACTCTATATGAATGGGTAGTTCCGTTGCGGATCCTTTTGTCAAGGTCGAGGTATTCTTATATGTTCTACTGCTACTTCAATAGGAGATGATCCAGCTCTCTGTGTGTTTGGCATTCCCATTTGGCTTTGGGACCATGGGTTAGATCCACAACCTATTCTGATTGTTGCAAGGCCTTCGCAGATGCCTTCCGAGGAGACCGAGTGAGGAACAAAAGACTCTTCTCCAAGGGAAAGCCATTGAGGTAGAGAGAAATATATAGCAGGAAAGAGAGAGAGAGAGAGAGAGCGTCCGGGTGTTTGTTTGCTGGTCCTTCAAGACACTACCTAATGTCATTAGAATTACGGTAACCCATATGTTACCCAAAGACCAACGCCTCAAGAATTGGATCACAAACCTCCAGCTTAGTCCGAAAGCTTCTTTATTTGCTGAAGCACCGCAGGAGGAGCTTCCAGGGTTCAGGGAAGTCATGGAACAATATGCTGCTTGGTTGTTTCCGGGTGATGAGAAAACGGAATGGAAGGGGGAAGATGATGAACGATGGAGATGGTTCTGAGATGAACAATGGTGCCGTGTTTAACATTTCTAGACGTTCGTCGAAGCACTGAGGGTACATCGGCGGATCACAGCAGCTTGGACCAGTTCCGAGGTTCCCAATTTGCTCCAACAGGGCACAGTTTCTGGAGGGCACGATCAAACCCAGGATATTTTGAAGAATGCTTCAAGCCCTGGTAACATTTGGTAACCAGGGGTCTCAAGACGGCCTTCCCTCATATTCATTCTTGCTATTTCAGCCATCCTGGGTGCAGGATTTGCCTAGCAACAGCACGTGCCACTTTATTATGATGTTATTTATGTTACTGTACAAACCATTAATATCATCAATCAAACTGATTGAACCACTATATCATATCCCTTCTAAATGCGACTAACACGACATCTCCAACAGCCTCACAGAGTGAAGATCCAAGGCCTTAGAGATGTTCAAGCTCTCAAAGAGGCAGGCTCCGAGATGTTTTCTCTTCAAGATAAACATCACTCCATCACTACAACTGACGGATACAGGCAACTGGAGGCCATCGCTAGTACAAGGACTGCACTTTGGCTCATCGGGAGGTCCGATAGGTCCATGCGCCAGAGGTCCAGTGGTATTTACAACCGCAGTTCCCTGCGGTACCCTGACATCTCAGATTCCAGATCTAGGCAGCTTGATGATTTCCTTTTGGCCTTCATCAACTCTTCAGTTTTGGACTCATCTCGACTAGCTACATTGTTTTTATCGCGAATGCCAGGTTGCTTGAGCTGATGGCGTTGATCTTAGGAAAGCCCAGAGATTTCTTCCACCAGTGACTTGGCCATGTGGATTTGGGAGCGAATCGCCTTTTGGGACAATTAGGTCGAAACGGGTGATTACGTGTGGCAAGACGGAAAGCCAAAGTGCTCGGTTTTGACAAGAAAGAAAAGAAGACACAGAAAAGAAAGAGAAGACAAGAAGAGACACGCGACCAGAAAACTTAAGCACTGCGAGGCAGAAAGAACGGTCTAAAGACCAAAAAAGGGAAGAAGGGCCTCAAGATTAGAACGACAAACACCAAAACACAAAAATAAGTCTAAAGAAAGAAACCACAAGAAAGAAAAACATTCGTTTCACATTTTTTCACTAATCAGGAAAACAATAGAGATCTCTTCCCACGGAGTGCGTGTCTCTTTTTTTGGAAGCCCCGAGAAGGGCACGCTGACTTGTTCTTTTATAATCAAAGTTTGGGGGGTGGCGAGTTCGGGTCCCCGGCAAGGTTTTTAGACCAGCCGGTGCGGAGCTCAGATAAGCCGTGTGGAGATTGGAGTGGACACGGAAATTATCTTTGAGACTCAGTGCGTCGTGATTCCCAATATGCTGAGACTAGTGCTCAGACTGTATCTCGAGCTCGGGTACCCATAGTCAATGTCAACTAGGTCAGGCGGGTTCCTTATCTTATGAATGATTCTAAACTTGATGTCTTCTCATTAATTTGCCAATGATCTAAAGGTCTAGCTGGCCACAGAACCGTGAGCTCCTTGATTTTCCGGTGATCGTGGAACATCCAGCCCTTTTTCTCTCCAGGTTGCCACTCATCGGCTGCTGCACTATTGGCCTATCAAGGCCCAGTCGGCCGTCAACAAAAACACAAACTGAGTAAAACGAGCGAAATGGAAGTGACACCCGCGCCATCGCCAGGATTTCAATTTGGAGATCGGCGTTGGGGAGCATACGGATTACGGGCTGTTGACCATCTTGAAGCAGGAGCAGCAGAGAAAGAAGACATGAAAGTAGGCTTGTTGAGTTCAAGAATTGGGGTGAGGTTACTCGTGTGGTTTCATTTGAAAGCTTGGGTGGGGTAGAGTTGGCCGTGAGGCCTTTCTTTCTTTTGTCTTTGTGTTCCTCCCTCGTTTTGTAGCTGACTGTGTTGCTCTTTTGGCTTTACCCAACATATATCACACTTGGATTCTGCGTGTATCTCAAAGCAGTGACGGCACAACATGGCGCAACAAGTTCTCAATTGACGGTTGTCTTCTTTCATCAGTAGCGATGCACCTTGTTACTAGTAGTTTCTTGCTACTAGTAGAAATGCCCTTGTTACTAGTAGTTAACGGCGTTAACGGTTCTCTTCTTTCCCTTCTCCGGATCGGTCCATCTCTCCTGTTCTCCAGGATATGGTTGGCGGACTCCAGGCCGGGAACGGAACATCACTCCGCTCGACTCGCCGAAAAAGGCCACGAATCCGTGAAGGCTTTTGCTCCCAAGACTTGGAGGAAGGCCAGGAGCCCCTAGTAGTAGCGATGCCAGGAGCCCCTCATCGCGTTCTTGTTACTAGTAGCAAGAATGCTCCTAGTAGTACGGCCAGGAGCCCCTAGTAGCTTCTTGTTACTAACGGACAAGTTGTTTTTTGTCTTTGTTCTTCTCTAGAGAAGTAACGTCTCCTTAGCTTCGCTAAAACCTGGAAGGTCCACTCGTTTCTGTCGTTCGAGTGGACCTGCGTTTCCCTAAATGCCGCCATTCCTTTTCACAGCGCACATCGACTGTGCCAATACGGCCTCAGAGGGGTGAACATTCAATTGGTGACTTGTTCCTAGTAGCTTCTTGTTACTACTAGTAAGGCACTTGTTACTAGAAGCGATGCACTTGTTTCTACTAGCTTCTTGTTACTACTAGTAAGGCACTTGTTACTACTAGCATGGCACCTGTTACTGGTAAGGGGCCAGTAAGGGGTCCACTCATTCGTGTTGGAACCCACATGGCACAGATTTGGTATCAAAAAACATTTGGCCCCGACAAACTTAGACGTAAACGACCTGAGACTTAAACGACCTCACTGCATGACAGTCGAAGTACAGAGTGACTGGCAACCTATACCCATTGAGGTGGATTCCCTATTCACAGGATCACCGAGACGATCTCTAAATTAGCAATGCCTGCCATGTTTTCCACTTCACGGAGTGCAAGGCGTTGGGCAGCACTCACAGTGCTGCAACAGATGATAGGCTTCCTGCAGATGTCTACAATGCTGATGCCATCCCTGATTACACTGGTACTTTGGTTTGCTCAAAAGCATGATGCTGTTCATGTTCCATTGAAATAAACTCGGATCGGAACTGTTTCAAACAGGGATTTTACTTTGGCACCCACTGGAATGATACACTTTACGAACCATGTGGGAAGTTGAAGCAGCTGCCGGTGTACATATATACTTAATCATGCTTGGAGATTACGCCGTAAGATAGTTTGAGGTATGAGTGTGTTAAAATGGTAGACTTTCCAGTTGGACCCCTGACAATAGATTCAATAGACCAAAACCCATTGGTCAACGGTCTCCCGATGAAAATACCCACCCACAGGCCCATATGTTACTAGTAGCTTCTTGCTCCTAGTAGTACGGCCAGGAGCCCCGTTCGTAGCGTCCGATCGCTCCTAGTAGCGATGCCAGGACCCCCTGGTAGCGTCTTGTTCCTAGTATATAATCAGTTCAGGCAATGTGCTTCAGCTTCTTCTTGACGTTGACATGGGACATGATCTTCTCAGAAGAGATCTTCAAGGAATTGATCTTCTGGCTCTACGGACATTGGGAGGACCCTTGTGACCAGCCCATCGGCCACTTACAGCAGTGCTTTTGGATTGTCTTCTGGATCAAAGTCACTGAGATGAGAAAAAACAGCTTTTCTGGCATCCATCGTCGTATCTTGTTGCTGTCTTTCTATTTCAGAGGATTGAAGCAGCCACTATCAAAGGACAAAATCTTTTCTGGTTCGACCGATGTTGCTTACAAATGAACAAGTAAGGTCTTCATCCTCGTTTCATACGCCAAGTACGAAGAAGAGAGGCCCCTTGATCACCGAAGCCTCTCAGTGCGGCTCTTTCAGTATTTGCTGAAGCCGCTGGCAGTGGCCTTTGAAGTGTGTTGGCCTACCGTCACTTTTATTTCATTGCGGAAGACCAATGCAGAAGGATGCAGCCGCTTGTTTTGGGACACCAGGTTTCTACATTCTTTTTGGACAGGTTAGAAAGCCATTCATCGAGTCCTTGTCCTAACATTTGCCCATAAATGTTGTGCTTTTGCTTCGGAATGGCTTTGTGCTTGGCAGACTGGGTTGGCTCAACCAGTAAGGGTCTAACATGGTCTAACCCTTGGGTTAATGGTAGCTTATCGTGCTGAACCACTCGCTTCACGTATGACATGTTTTCTATCGTTTTTTTGTGGGTAGCCAGCACTTCCAAGAATGGTGCAAGTAAGGCAAAATCTTGCGGCAGACTGGCTGGCTTTTGTTAGCACCATACTTTCTCGAGGTCTTTGTCGCTCTGTTTAGCATGCTTTGGCCACGTTTGAAACCCCTGCTGCCAAAACCAGACACAGACCTTGCACGTGAATTCCGAGATGTACAATTTGTTGCTCAGCAATGCACAAGTGATTTCATTTCTTGTCCATTCGTTTGTGTCCCCAAAAAGGATCCGGAAATGCTTGGTGCTTGGAAATCCATCGTTTCAATCGAACTCTAAGGTTGCAGAGGTCGGCCGCAGCGTCACCACTTGTTCCATTTGTTTGGGTGACTTCGCTGGGGACCAGCGCATCGTCAGACCCTGCAGAAGCGACATGCACGTCTTCCATCGCTTGTGCTTGTCCAATTGGTTGCGAGTCTCACAGTCTTGCCCGCTTTGTCGGGAAGAGCTCCGTGTCAAACACCGCGACACGGAGGTTTCGTGAGTTTTCATTCGGAAGCAAAAAGAGCTCTATCGTTAGATATCAGAGTGGGTTTGTGTCTCCAAGACTGGCATCACCGACCGCTAGCAGTTCAGTCATCCTTCATGGCGGACAGGTGTTGAATGCCAAAGATGGTGTTTGGGTACATTGCTGCCCAGAGCTCGCCTCAGCAACTGTCCCTCACTGTGAGTGAAATGAAGCGAGCAAGCAAAATGTTTCAAAAAAATATCTGGTAGATTCCTTTGCTAGTAATTACAAGTGCATGGCTAGTGTAGTTAATTTAATTTAATTTAATTCAATTTAGTTTAATTCAATTTAACAAGAAGCTTCCTCCCACCCCCCAAAGGTAAGTTGGATCCAAAGAATCTCAGAGAGAACAAAAGAGAAAGACAAGAAGCTACTAGGGGCCCCTGGCCTTACTACTAGGAGCAAGAGGATGCTACGAATGGAGCAAAGGGCATCGCTGTGAAGTTTTTGTGGCAGCGGCTGAGGTCGAGAATGCCTTTGTCATCAACCTGGGGGACATGATTGGTAGATGGACGGCGCACCGTTTCAAGTTGGGAGCCTAGAGGATGTCCCGACATGGACATCGGCTTACCATGGCTTACCTATGTCTTGAGACTGGAGTAGAAGACATTGAATTCGATGTCCAGCGATGGCCTCCAACCTACTAGTAATAGCAATGAGTAGGAGACATCGAATTCTCTTCAAAACTTCTTTGACTGATGCAACATGACATGCAATGGGCAGTTCCCATAGTCGGCTCCAGAGCCGAGCTCTTTGCTCTCTCTCCTCGCAGCTCCAAATCAAGTCTCAAGCACGTAGCATCAGCACAAAAGATTGACTTTAAAATTGCGTTTAAAGCCAACTTGCCACCAGCTCCCATCATGCTGCCACATTGGGAAATGCGTGAGCTCTTTCTCAGCTTGAGAACACAATGCTGTTAGGAACACTGATGCAGTTGTCGTTTAACACAGTTTTCCACTTTACTATTACAGGCAAGAAGGAAAGGTGAAAGGGTCTGCAAGTCTGCGAAGAAAGTTTCCACCTTATTGACCTGGGGGTTTCTTTTGAGTTTCTTATGCACCCATCTTTGAGCACCGTGAAACAACTGGCCACACCTCAGCAGAAGTTGCTTTTTCGAAGGAATGGCTTAGCGAAGCTTTGATCCCATGGAGGATGCATATCATGCTCCGCCGCCACCACCTGCCCCAGCAGTGGGTGCTGAAGCCACGTATGAGCGGCTAGCAACATTGGCGCCCGTTTGTGGCCTTTCAGCTGCACTGATGTACTTTAAAACATCCCACATCTGAAGATTCTTCCACCCAATGAACGCAGATGTCACTTAGCAACGTGCAGGAACACTTGTCATTTTCGTCAGGCTCGTGCTTGGAACCGCTTGTCAGTGGCTTTCTGCAAGACGCTACCTTTCGACAGGAGCTGCAGGACGGCTGCTTGATCCAGTAAGCTACTTGTCGTTGTCACTGAAGCAATGGGTTTAGTTTGGTCTGAGCAGATTCCGGATGTTAAGGCGTCGGAGTGGGTGGCAAAACAATGGATAGTAGTAAGAATGCTCCGTTCGTAGCGATGCCAGGAGCCCCTAGTAGCGTCCTTGCTCCTAGTAGCGATGCCAGGAGCCCCTAGTAGCGTCCTTGCTCCTAGTAGCGATGCCAGGAGCCTAGTAGCATCCTTGCTCCTAGTAGCGATGCCAGGAGCCCCTAGTAGCTTCTTGTTCCTAGTATGGTAGCTCTAGTACGAGATTTGTTGGCCTTTCGACACCACTGGCGTTTCAACAACTCTAGGAGAACATATTCCACAACTACTGCATTTGGGAGAATGAGCTCTAGACTCTTTGACAAATGGGGCTATTTAAGGCAGGACCCTTCACAAGTAAGTTTCCCTGAAAATCTAGGAACCACATCATTGGTGCAAGCACTTCTTCAAGGAAGCGTGAGGTATCCTGCGTCCAGTTACTAGAAACTAACTAGTAGCTAGCGTAGCTAGTAGCTTTCTTCCTTGCTTGAAGTAGGCGCCTAACTAGTCCTTAAGGCGGAACAAGAAGCTACTAGGGGCTCCTGGCCTTACTACTAGGAGCAAGGACGCTACTAGGGGCTCCTGGCATCGCTACTAGGAGCATTCTTACTACTAGAATACCCAAACTGTTTTGCCACAAATCAGTCCTTGGTCTCCAACTCCGATGCAACCGCCGCAGGACTTCATCGTTGGACGGGCTTCATCTTTCCTTGTCCTTTGCGAGGATGGTAGTTATCCGCTAGTTCCTTGTCCAATGTTTTGCTGGGGTTCAAGGTGGAATAAAATTGACATCGTAATTACACCATGGGTGCATGTGACGTTCTTCGTTTCAATCGCCTTCGCATCCTTCGCATCCTTGGGCTTTCAAGGGTGAACTTCTGATCGGCACGAAGACCGCACGTCGAGGGATCCGTTGAAAAAACGATCCGAACAAACATCACAAGGAGAAGTTGCCAGGATTCCGTTGCTGCTCTCACGGTGATGATGTAGCGTTTTTGGGGTCTGTTGTCTTGGGACATGCCAAGATCTGTTAGGTTTGGAAAGCCTATCACAACGAGTACCGCTCGATCTTTGAACGCCAGATGCAGCGGCTCAGTTGCATCACAGACGGGCTGGTTGGACAAAGAAGAGCAGCTCCTGCAAGCACCGTAAGTGCAAGCACTTGCCGTTGTTGAATACCCAAAGCGTCCAGATGAGCAGGAAACTCTTTACTTGTAACATGTTATAACGATTAATTATGCAAGACAATTTGGGGTAAAGAACAGAATAACCGTTGGCCCAGTTGGCCCTCACTTCCATCGCTCGTCGTCAATGCAACGGCATCTTGTTCAGGAAGATCCTGGCCTCGTTGAGCATCACCGAAGCTGAACTCACGGAGCTTTGCCATTGGCTACAGAGTGACTTCGTGCCTCGGCCCAAGCGAGACTAGTTCCGTGAGACCTGACTGACCTGGTCGTACCTCGTTGGGGGTGTTGGGCCCTACGCTTCTCCATCGGACTCACTTGCAATATTGGAGCTTGGAGCACGTACTCCGACTGTCAGGATTCGATGAAGTACTGATTGATCAAAGCGATTTTCCAATATACCCAAGGACGCTACTAGGGGCTCCTGGCATCGCTACTAGGAGCAAGAAGCTACTAGGGGCTCCTGGCCTTACTACTAGGAACAAGGACGCTACAAGGAACAAATAGTAGCGTACTTTTGTTCCTAGTAGCGATGCAAGGAGCCCCTAGTAGCGTCCTTGCTCCTAGTAGTAAGGCCAGGAGCCCCTAGTAGCTTCTTGTTCCCATTCCTTTTCAATTCCTACTTGTCATTATAACATGTTTCTATTTGCTCTAGTTAGTTGAGTTAACCATTCTGCATCATTCCTTTGAAGTCCCCGGACCGGAATGATCTCTCCGGGAACTCTGAGGGCCATGGCTTTCAATATGACGATGGCCTCCATGCTTTCCTCGAAGCAGTGACGGCCAGTGCCGTCATCGCAGGATGGATTGTGCTAGTGATCAGTGGGGGTAAGCAGGTATAGTCAGGGTACGCAAAGATCTGCATGGTCAGAGTTGAGGTCCAAAGTGGAGGATGTAGTCTAAGCGGAGCATGTTCATCCTATGGTTATTTGTGGGCCCCGGTGCTGCTCGTTTAGCATGAAAAAGGGACATCCCAGCAAATCGAAGTGGTTGCGAGCGGATGCAAGACTCTCTCAAGGTTCTGCTTCCAGGACTCCAGACATCCAAGGTGTAACGCCTCCTTTTTTTTGAAGCCCGGGAGAGGTAGGCAGTAGGTACGTAGTAGCTGGTAGCTAGTAGAAGAGGTAGCTAGTACCTACTACCGATGGCCTCCAACCTACTGCCGATGGCCTCCAACCAACTAGCGTTGGCCTCCAGCATATCCAAGGTGAAGCCTATGAGAACTTCTTGGCGGTGATGTTTGCTGAGGCCGCCCGGCAGGGCTTCCATGGAAAACTGGTCCAGTAACTGTGGAGTTGGAATAAATAAATCATTTATAGATTACATAATCACTTGAGTATCATCTGCGGGATTGGAAAATTCAACCCCGAAGACTATGCTGAGAAGTGCATGTCACTGTACTTTGCAGGCTTGGTAGAGTGAGGTGATAGATTTCGCGCAAGTATGATCCAATGCCAATCACGACAGCAATCAATAAAACAAGTATAGGTGCAAACTAATAGCAAGCAAGTCAGTTAAAGTCATTGGTTTGGTGTGTGGAATGCAATCCTTCGCTCGGCTCCCAGGTCTCCCGCCAAGCGGGTGAGACCGTGGAGATCACCGTGCCACTGGGCCTCAGCCCAGGTGATGCATTCCAGGCTGGGCTGTCGAGCCGTGTTCGACCGGGTGACTTTAAACCAAGATTCGGTATTCGGTACCTACAAGAGTAAACCAAACCTCAGCTTTGCAAGAGAAACAACTTATATGTGTCGATGTAGAGTCCCGGATATCAAACTAAGAGTGTGCCTTGTGAGCTATGCTGTGTTGTCACCTGTCATTGTCTTTTCGACCCATCGTTTGCTGGGAGTGCGCTGCGGTTGTGCTGTGGTCTTGGCGCTCTTTGCTGTTGCAAGCCTTTGCATGCGGTCCGTTTCAGGGGATGGCAACTGACCATGGTAGCTAGAAGCTACTTTGTTTCTACTAGCTTCTTGTTACTAGTAGCGATGCACTTGTTTCTACTAGCTACTTTGCCTCAAGAAACGAAACAACTGACCACACTTTCCATTGCGTGGGATGGCTGCATCAAGACTTCCTCGAGCCCGGCTGCAACTCAAGGTTGAACATCACAGTTACCTGAACCTTCAATCGTAGCACTTTTTTCTGGCGAACCAAGGAAACGAAAACTTTTTGGAGTTTCGTAGCGTTTTTTGATGAAACGAGCACTTTCTAATGTTTTTGATGAAACGTACATTTTTTCAAGATGTTGAACACTGAAGTCTTCTTGGGCCATAGCTGGAAACCCGCAAAATGCGCACAAAATGCGGCAAAAC